ACAGAAGGGCCTTGAACCAAGGATACTGTATCCAGCACGACTATCATTTAAATATGATGGCGGGATTAAACCATTCCCAGACAAGCAAAAGCTGAGGGAATTTGCTTCCCACAAACCACCTCTACAGGGCATCCTACAGGGACTGCTCTAGATGGGAGCACTCCTAAAAAGAGCACAGAACAAAACATACAACATATGAAGAATGGAGGAGGAGGAATAAGAAGGGAGAGAAAAGAATCTCCAGACAGTGTATATAACAGCTCAGTAAAATTTCTGTTATGCATGGTGTGTAAGTTCCAGAGATCTGTGTACAACATAGTACCTAAAGTTAATAATATGGTTTTATGTACCTTCAAATATATTAAGAGGATAGTTCTCATGTAAAATATTCTTACCACAAAACAAACAAAGAAAGAAAGAAACAAGACCACAAAGAACACAAGGACATTTTTGGAGGTGATGGATATGTTTAGCACCTTTACTGTGGTGATGATATCATGGATGTATGTGTATGCCTAAACTCATCAAAATGTATATATTAAGTATCAGTAATTTTTTGTATATCAATTATATCTCAATAAAGCTTAAAAAAAAGTAACGGTTTGCTACTGTAGTTTACATTGCCAAAAAAACTGTTTGTTAGCTATACAGCAAGTGTGTTACACAACTGGTTGAGCAGTGGTAAATTAAATTGGAGTTAGTGTTGGTGAAGGGGACTCTAACTAGTGACTTTTATTGTAGGTAAAATACTCTGACTTAGTAGTCCTTTTCCAAACAATATGGTCACCCTTTCCTCCTGATTCACTAGAGTTTCTTTCTAGTCTTTCAATTATCTTTTTTTGAATTGCTTAAAATTTTCCAGTGAGGTCACAGAAAAGTGAGCAGGTAAATTGCTGTTAGGGTGCTGCCAGCCACATTTTATTGACCTTTTTACCGTTATGTCTCCACTCTATATGGACTTCTAGCTGGAGAAAATTATTCACTTTAGAAGTCATAGAATAATATGGGTGGGGAATAAAAGGGATGCCTTTCCCTCCATTTTCTCTTACCAAGGGGAGAATGTAACTGCATTTACCCTCTAAACCAATATAAAATTCTAGATGTTTGTTTTGGGCAGTTAGGAAATCATATCCTTTATTGTTATTAGGCTTCAGTTTTGGTTCCTGGTCATTAGAAAACATTACCCTGGCTTTGATGATGGTTGGCCGAGGATCCAAGATGCCCTGCATTTTTCTCAGGGCAGGAACAACAAAGAGGTTGCAGGTGACCACGGCTGACACAGGATTCCCTGAAAGTCAACCAAGCAGTTATATATAGTACACACATAAGATTTGCCAAGTAATTATGACTGTCTATACCTTTAGGTATTGTAGAAAGTGAAGTGGCTGACCACTAGTCTTCTTATGAATTACCTTGATCCAAAGGATGCCAGAATAGAGCTGTAGTGAAATGCCACAGAGGGTATACACATTTGGGTCTACTAGTGAAAGGCAGACTTCTGATGCCCAGAAGCTGATGAAGACCATTAATTTCTACTTTCCCAAGAGCTATAATTGAAAGCCATTACTAATCTTGATAAGTTTTAAAACAGGTTCTACTTGCTATTTTTAAAATGTTTTAACATTGCCATAGCAATATATGTTCAGTACAAAAAAATAGGATAAATGTAAAGGAATTAATCCATAACTTCTCTACCCAGAAATTTCTTTAAATTTAAAAATAAAACTAAATGATTTAAGATGTGAAGGACTTGAAGATGAATACTGTAATGGACAGAACTGTGTCTCTCCCAAATTCGAATGTTGCAGTCTTCACCCCCAGTGTGACTGTATTTGGAGATAGAGCCTTTAAAGAAGTAATTAAAATTAAATAAGGTCAAAAGTGTAAGGGTCCTAAGGTAAAATCCAATAGGTCTGGTGTCCTTATAAAAAGAGGAAGACATGCCAGGAGTGTGTGTTTATGGAGGAGAGACTGTGTGAGGACAGAGAAGGTAACTGGCTGTCTGCAAGCCGGGAAGACTCAACAGAAACCAACCTTGCTGGCACCTTGATCTTAGATTTCCAGTCCAAAGAACTGTGAGAAAATAAACTCCTGTTTTTAACCCAACCAGTCTGTGATGTTCTGTTATGGCAGCCTGAGCACACTAATAGAAATACCAAGTTCTTTTAAAGTTAGAAGGAAAATTTGAGGAATTCAATTGTACCTCTCGAAGAAGAAATCTGGGTGTGTCATGCACTTCAAAGGGAGAAAGGTAGACTACAAAAGACTGGGCTGAGGATAACAGATTTAATTTCTTGTGTGGTATTGTTAACTAAGCAAGCTGTGTGACCCTGGTGAGTTCTGAACCTTTTTGAATATAACTTTATTTATGCACAAAAGGAGAGGTTTGGACTATATGATTTTAAATATCTCTTCTGGTTCTAAAATTCTAATTGTATTAATACCAGTAGTATATGAGAATATATGTATATACTAGGGGTGAGGGTGGGTTGTTAATTTTTAGGTTTTGTTGATCTGGCTATGTGCTGCTAATTGCATCATCAAAGTAAAAGGCAGTGATCAGTTTAGTCTATTATTAGATAAAACCATACCCTTAACTTTTATCTACCCACAAAAGTAGTTAAAAATAGATATTTTTAAGTTATAAAAAGTGATGAGTGATACTAATGATTTCAATTGAAAAATGAGTTGTCCTACACAATGCAGACTCTTAATGAGAATCAATTGCTTTTCTCTTGCCTCAAAACACAAAGATGGAATTTTTTCAAGAACAAAAAAACCAGAAAAAAAAGCAAGCCTTTGTTCAACAATGATTACAGGGTTCCTGAAATGCTACTTGAAGGGTCCCCAGCAGTAAGATGGCAAACTTCCGGCTTCTCTTCGGGGTCCTCAGTTCCCGCCGGCGCCACCTGAAGCCCAATCACCTCTCGCCCCCCTCCCAATCCCAGCACCTAGCCAACAGCCACCAGCCCCGTAGAGGTGACACCTCAATCAATTCATGCCCCTTCCTATATAACCCAGCACCTTTCCCTAATAAAGCGGAACTCTCCGGTGAATTGCTGCTATGTGTCGCTCCTTTCCTTTCATTGGTGCCGAAACCCGGGAGACGGGACACCCCAACTGGGCCCCGTCTTCCCCCGACACCAGCAGCAGCTTGCCCTCGTCCTCTTTTTCCGGCCCTGGCTCATCACACTCACCACTCCTCTCTGGCCTTTAGGTAAGTTTTCCCCCCGGAGTGGGCCACTCTTCCCCGAGCTATCGCAGTGCCATTGACCGTGATCGTCCGGCAAGGCCCTGACGCTCGGGGATGAGGAGGGAACGCTCCCCGCCTCAGGCCTTCACGGCTGCGGCGGACCCTCAGGCCCCTCCTCCAAAAGCCATAAATCCCCACCTCAAGCCTTTACGGCTGCGGCGGATGCTCAGGCCCCTCCTCCGACAGTCATAAATGCATTCACCATCCCTTCCATCAGTGCTGAAAGTTTTTAAGCAAAATTTCCCCGGGGTGGGCCACTCTTCCCCGAGCTATCGCAGTGCCATTGACCGTGATCGTCCGGCAAGGCCCTGACGCTCGGGGATGAGGAGGGAACTCTCCCCGCCTCAGGCCTTCACGGCTGCGGCGGACCCTCAGGCCCCTCCCCCAAAAGCCATAAATCCCCGCCTCAAGCCTTTACGGCTGCGGCGGATGCTCAGGCCCCTCCTCCGACAGTCATAAATCCCCGCCTCAGGCCTTCACGGCTGCGGCTGACTCTCAGGCACCCCCCTCCAACAGCCATAAACGGGGTGACTCCTTTGTGGATGAGAACGCTCCATTTTCCCCCCCTCCTCCTTCTGCTCCGTCCGCCGAAAACGCCTAGCGCTAGGTACCTCGTGACTCCGGCACTCTGCCTTCTTAGGGAAGTCTGGGTGACGACCCACACTTCCCAAGAAATTCCGACTCGTATACGAGTTTCCGCAGACCACCAAGGATCATCGGGGACGCCCTTTGTCTCCTTGTGGTCTGCCTCCAGTCCGAGGATCTCCGTTCGTCTTCCCCTGTTTGTCTCCTTCTCTGTCCTTTAGCCATGGGAGCCTCCTCATCCCTCCCTGAAAGTTCACCTCTTGAATGCCTGCTTAAGCATCTGGCTACCCTCTCCCTGACGCCTGATATAAAACCAAAACTTCTCCGTAAATATTGCTCCCAAGATTGGCCGACATACCCCCTAGACAATAACAACCAATGGCCTGCAGGGGGAACTCTTGATCCTAACATCACTCGCGATCTTTTTAACTACTGCCAGCGCCTGAAAAAATGGAAGGAGATTCCCTATATCGAAGCTTTTCGCCTCCTAGCTCAAAATCCCAGCCTCTGCACCACCTGCTCCCCGCCCCAAGTTCTCCTAGCCTGCAAGCCGTCTCCCTCCCCTCCACACACTCCCAGTCCCTCTTCAATTACCTTTGACCCGGCCGACGAGCCTCCGCCATACAGACTTCCCCCTTCAGCCCCTCCCCCTCCTACAACCCCTCCACCCTCCGCCGCCACTGCCGCCTCTTTCCCCATGGCAGAAGCCTCCCGTCCTCTCCCTTCCCCTTCTTCTCCTACAACAGCCCCCCCCCCTTCCTCTACCGCCGCCACCGCTGCCGCTTTCCCCGCAGCAGAAGCTTCCCATCCTCTCCCTTCCCCTTCTCCTTCTACAACAGCCTCTCCCCCTTCCTCTACCGCCGCCACCGCTGCCGCTTTCCCCGCGGCAGAAGCTTCCCATCCTCTCCCTTCCCCTTCTCCTTCTACAACAGCCTCTCCCCCTTCCTCTACCGCCGCCACCGCTGCCGCTTTCCCCGCGGCAGAAGCTTCCCATCCTCTCCCTTCCCCTTCTTCTCCTACAACAGCCCCTCCCCCTTCCTCTATCGCCGCCGCCGCCTCCACCCCCGCAGAAGCCTCCCATCCTCTCCCTTCCCCCTCCTCCACCATCTCCTCCTGCACCTCACCACCTCCTCCTCTGTCCCCCTCACCTTCCCCCCTCCCGCAAATCAAGCCTGAGCCTTTCAGCCCCCCTCTAACTAAGTTCCAAGAGCCTCGTCCATTTTTGCCCCCTCAGATTCGGTCCCGAGAGCCTCCCAAAATTATCGCGGCTTTGCCCCCATTACCTGTTTCCCCTGCACAGACTGAGCCAGAACCCTTCAGTCCCCCTCAGACTCGGTCCCGAGGGCCTCCCAAAATTATCGCCCCGCTCCGGGAAGTAGCAGGATCCGAAGGCATCTTGCGTGTTCACGTCCCCTTCTCCTTAGGAGATTTAGCCCAACTAGAGAAACGCCTAGGTTCCTTTTCCACTGATCCCACGACCTACATCAGGGAGTTTCAATGGACCCTCCAGTCTTACAGCCTCACGCATCATGACATCTTCATGCTCCTGGCCAATACTCTCCTCCCTGAGGAGCGTAGACGAGCTTGGGACTTCGCCCAAATGCATGCTACCGAAACCCACAGGACTGACCCCACCTGTCCCCCTGGTCCCACTGCTGTCCCCGAACAAGACCCACACTGGGATTATAACACCGCTGTGGGTCTCCACTCTCGAGATATTTTTGCCTCCTGCTTAATAGCAGGTCTAAAAAAGGCAGCTCGTAAAGTAGTCAATTTTCAAAAGCTCCAAGACATAATTCAAAAGAGAGATGAAACCCCCTCCGAGTTCTTAGATAGACTCACTCAAGCCCTATTACAGTATACCAGCCTGGACCCAGAAACACCTGAAGGAAGACAGGTCCTTATGACATACTTCCTAGCTCAAAGCTACCCCGACATTAAAGCTAAACTCAAAAAGTTAGAACAGGGCCCCGCTACCCCACAGACTGAGATCCTAACAGTGGCCTTTAAAGTCTTCCATAACCGGGAGGAGGAGAAAGAACGCCGTAAACAAAAAGCTGATCAGGCCAATTTCCAGATGTTGGCCCAGCTGATAAAACCACAACCTGGGCGCCCCTCTACAGACAAGCCCCCCCAAGGAGCTTGTTTCAAGTGCGGAAAAGAGGGACATTGGTCAAGGGCGTGCCCCTCCCCCAGATCTCCTACCACCCCATGCCCCAGATGCCACAAAAAGGGCCACTGGGGGTCTGATTGCCCAACCACCCGAAGGGGAGGCTGGACGAACAACCCCCATCCTAAGCCCACCGTAGTGGGGCTGGCAGAAGAAGATTGACGGGGCCCGGGGGCTTCTCGCCCGACCATTTCCATCACCAAACAGGAGCCCAGGGTTACTTTAACAGTAGACGGTCGCCCCATCTCCTTCCTCCTAGATACAGGAGCCACCTTCTCAG